GAACCGTTGTGGACATGGTATGGGAAACAAGTAAAAAACGTTAAATCGCCGCAGGATGGTCGAGGTTATGCCGAGTTGATGACAGTGAATGATGCATGGAAAGCAGACAAACATTTGTTGCAGATTGTCTCCAACCTGCAGAAGACCGAGTTGTGGAAGGAGCATCTGGATACTGATTTACACGAGCCCGCAGAAAAATCATGATGTTGAGCTTGCATTTGCTGATGAACAGGGTCTGGACTTGCAGTCTTTTTTCACTTCCACCAGATGCCTATGCGGGATTGCTGTCACCTGATGCAGAAATTCGGACGATCACGGCTTTGAAGGCAAAGGGCCATCACACATCACTCTTGAGGTTGGAGTCGACATTGGCACGGTCCACTCCAAGTGTTCATGCCCGGCAACTCTTCACAGACCTGCAAGTTGGAAGCAGCCATCCTTCGAGACTTTTTCTGGACACATTGGAGGCACAGGGATATGAAGTGGCGCCTCCGGGGTCAGAAGACATTGTCGTGGATGATGTTGACACAGAGCAGGACGGGGAGATGGAGGATTCTGTGCCTGAAGAAGCAGATGACGGTGCCGGAGTTGGTGACATTTTGTTAGACGGGCAAGAGGGCAGAGTGCCAGCTCAAAGGACTGTAACAATGTCGGTACCAGCATGCCCTGCAACCCACCTGCTGAGTGTTCTGGTGCAGACGCTGCCAGACAACAAGATTGTGGAAGATGTGCACAACAAGATTCGTAATGATTCTTTGTTGAACAAAACCCGCCAGCAAACATACTCCACGATTCAAACTGTGATCGAGAATTCAAACGTCTTTGAAAGCCGTTCAATCAGGCATCCGGCAAAAGTCAAACGGGAATATTTTGAAAGGGAGTTTTGGAATGTGGACAGGAAGCGCCAAAAGTTGTGCCTCAGAGGATGTGTCCACAAGCTGCCGTCACAGTATACCGAGATTGTCGGCGACAAGACATGGAACACCCTGTCAGAAGAGACACTCGAACGAGCATCAGGTGCGTGGTCATGGCTAATTCACTACAATGATGCAAGACTGGCATCTCAGCATGTTCCCTTGCGTGCTGGGAAGTTTAGCAGCCTTGCAGCCCCTTTGAAGATCTTGAACCATGTCTTGGATTTGACATGCTATCTCTCTCTTGGGGCAAAAACCTGTGCTGCTCTCATGTGGCCAGTGGTCCAGCATGAGGACCAGTCGACAGGAGAGATATATTTTGTTTTGAAGGCAGAGTGCCCGGATGGTTCCAGCGTCAAGGCCTGCTCGATTCATTTGTATGAGCCCCAGTATTGGGAAGTCATCGAAACAGAGGCAGTCTTCTGGAATGGCTTCAGTTGCCTCCGTCGTTGTGCTACAAGCTCAGTGTCACTTCTATCCTATATGTTGCAGCATCCCAAGTGACATGTTTTCATTTAGGATTCTGTCAACTGTCGACCCATACAGTAAATAGTACAATAAACTTATATAAGTTTTGCTGTGCTTGTTTTTGCTGAATCGACTGAGGGAAATGTCACAAGCATGTCGGACTCTCGCAGACTGCCAGAATCTCGCCGAGCATGTGATCTCCCAGACTGGAAAAAAAAAAAAAAAAAAGCGAAAGGAGCTGCAACGAATGCGCCGTCCAAAGCTCATGAGCCTGATCGCTTCTCATCACCTTCCGGAAGATTAGGATTTCATGCGCAAAATTGAGGCTATGTATTCGACAGCCAAAGATTCAACAGAGGATGAGGATGAGGATGACATTATCATGGGGGACTTTGTTGATGAGCTGGTTCTTGACGACCTGCTTGCTGAGGACAAACAGGAATTTAAAATGTTCTCAGACGCAGTCAGAAAACGCAGAATCAAAAGGGTGCATCAAACCTGGCAGGCCATCAAGACGCAGCAAGCAAAGGCCAAGGCAAAGGGCAAGGCCAAAGCAAAGACCAAAGCAAAGGCCAAGCCACAGGCCAAACGGAAAGCCAAGAGAAAGATTTGTCGCCCACGTATGTTGCCCAGGAAGCAACCCGCGCCTCCTGATGAAAGTGGTCAAGAGGGAGCAGAAGGCAGAGTGCCCGCACCTCCTGCTGAGGTGCCGGTGGAGCCGGAGCCTGATAATCACGTGGAGGCCGCGGAAGGCAGAGTGCCAGCCCCTCCTGCTGAGATGCCGGAGGTGCCTGCTGCAATTCCTGTCCCAGAGCCTGATGATCACGTGGAGCCCGAGGAAGGCAGAGTGCCAGCCCCTCCTGCTGAGATGCCGGAGGTGCCTGCAGTGCCTATCCCAGCACTCGAGCCACGGGAGGTTGCAGTCCGTGGCCCCCAACATCAGCGGCGGCCGAACCGTGTTGACTACCAATGGGTATGGACACCTGTTCAATGCCCGGAGTGTCCCAAGATCGCTGGTGAGATGAAGTACGACCCGAATCCTGGTGGCACTGACAAAGCAAAATGGTTTCTCCGAGTTCGTGTGACAGACGGCGGTCTCTTGGAAAGATTCGGAACATTTGTTATAGCTTCGATGTGGTTGCCTGATCTGCTGTGTGTTGTGTCACATTACATGAAACCATGTGTGTCTGGCATTGAAGGCGAGTGGAGCCACCTCGTACCCTATCACTGGGGACGTGTGGCTTCCAAGATGACAGAAGCGCAGGCCAGACAACACGTCATTGACCATAGGCCCTGTTGTGGCCCGACCAGGAGGCCTGGCAACAACTAGAGGATTCATCCTGCGCTGCAAAGAAAAGTTTTGTGTCTGTCTGTGTGCTTGCATTGATGGCAGCGGGTCCTGCTAGATTGGAATGCGTCCGAGAGACTGTGTGTTTCTGCTTGGGGAAGACGGATTGCGAAAGCATGTTCGCATTTTCACACATGTGGAATGTGTCACGTGCAAGCACATGGACAATCATTTCGAGTGCCACAACCCGGAAGCCGCACAAACTAGCACATGTGGTTTGAAGCCGTGCGTGCTTGTGACTGAACAGTAGCCGTCCAGAGCAATGCATTTCGCCCCGATCGAACGAGGAGAGTGTTTCTTCAGAGGCGAGCTCTCCCCAATCTTGATCAAAACCGCTTGCGAAAAATTGGCCCAAGCGCCTGACCAGTGGAAACCAGCTGAGAGATGGAATGAAGTTTATGACGACGTGCCTTGGGAAATCATGGTTCGCTACCTGCGTTACTGGCCACGTATTGGCTCCCGCATTACAGGAGGCCTCAGGCTTCTTCGACGGTACCAAGGCCCCTTCCCGAAGTGTTATCAGGTGGGTGAAGGATAAGAACCGCTGGAGTTGCCGCGCGTTTCTCTCGTTTGTGATTTTGTTTATGTTTGGAACGACGAAGATGAACAACAACGGCAGTTTGTCCTTCAGATGAAACACCTCTCACTTGTTGCCATCCGTCTCGGTGGTCCGGGGCAACTTCCTGACCTTGATGCTGGAGCAATACCTTTGACCGACCAGCTTTGTGCAAAGTTGGGGTGGCAATAATTAATGGATCTTGAGGCGGGAAGGCAGAGTGCCAGCAGCTGGGAAGGCAGAGTGCCAGACGTTGTCGCGTCACCCAGCTGTACCCTGCTTCGCCTGCACGTGATTCGCTTGACAGTGTGGTCAACACAGAAAAGCGCAACATCCAGCAGTTCGTAGCCACTTCACGCGATTTGTGCATCCCTAATACTATCAAACCCTAAAACTATGGCACTCTGCCTTCTAGCCCCAAACCCTAAATACTAAAGACCCTGAAACTCTAACCCTAACCCTTTCATTACCTTCAAACCCTAACACTATGGCACTCTGCCTCCTAACCCCAAACCCTAAATATACTAAAGACCCTGAAACTCTAACCCTAACCCTTTCATTACCCTCAAACCCCTAATACTATGGCACTCTGCCTTCTAACCCCAAACCCAAAATATACTAAAGACCCTGAAACTCTAACCCTAACCCTTTCATTACCCTCAAACCCTAACACTATGGCACTCTGCCTGCTAACCCCAAACCCTAAATACTAAAGACCCTGAAACTCTAACCCTAACCCTTTCATTACCCTCAAATCCCTAATACTATGGCACTCTGCCTTCTAACCCCAAACCCTAAATATACTAAAGACCCTGAAACTCTAACGCTAACCCTTTCATTACCCTCAAACCCCTAATACTATGGCACTCTGCCTTCTAACCCCAAACCCTAAATACTAAAGACCCTGAAACTCTAACCCTAACCCTTTCATTACCCTCAAACCCCTAATACTATGGCACTCTGCCTTCTAACCCCAAACCCTAAATATAATAAAGACCCTGAAACTCTAACCCTAACCCTTTCATTCCCCTCAAACCCCTAATACTATGGCACTCTGCCTTCTAACCCCAAACCCTAAATACTAAAGACCCTGAAACTCTAACCCTAACCCTTTCATTACCCTCAAACCCTAACACTATGGCACTCTGCCTTCTAACCCCAAACCCTAAATATAATAAAGACCCTGAAACTCTAACCCTAACCCTTTCATTACCCTCAAACCCCTAATACTATGGCACTCTGCCTTCTAACCCCAAACCCTAAAGACCCTGAAACTGTAAACCCTGTGCCAGGTCTTCTTCATCCTCGTCTTCTCGGAAAAAACATTAGTTTTTTTTGTTTTAAAGTTTTTAAAAAATTTTAAAAGTTGTTTAAAGTCTTTAAAAGTATTTCAAATTCTTTTTAAAGTTTGTAAAAGCTTTTAAAAGCGTTTAAAAGTCTTTTAAAGTATTTTTAAAGCTTTTAAATGTATTTTAATGTTTTTAAAAGTCTTTTAAATATTTTAAAAGCCTTTTAAAGTTTTGAAAAGTCTTTTAAAGTTTGCAAAAGTCTTCTAAAAGTTTCTAAAAGTCTTTTAAAGTCTTCTAAAAGTTTTTAGAATGTTTTTTCTTGCATTTGAAAGTTTTTAAAAGTCTGTAAAAGTCTTTAAAAGCCAACTCTGTCGAAAAAGCCCTGTGGATCTAAACCTTGTGGTTCTGGTTCGGTGCAAAGGGGCAATGATCGATGCCCTGTAGGATCTCCGAGTGATCCCTGGGCGCCGGCTCCTCCAGAAGATCGAGCTGAGCCGTGTGCGGGTTCCATTGCATGTAGCTCCACTGGTTGTGCGAGTTGATCCACTTGAGATCCAGAGCAGCCTGTTTCGAGTCGGCGCGGTTCATTGCCAACTTGGCCCGGGTGGCCATCTCTCGCAGAAGTGCCACAAGTAGAGTTTCCCTCAACGACATGCCCAGTTTGGCAGGCTCCTCCCGATACAACTTGCCCCATTCGCGGGCAATGGCGAAGAGGGAGGGCAGGAAGGACTGGGCACCCGTTCTCAGATAGAGATGGAGCTTGGTGTCCCCCTGAAGATTCTGCAGCTGGAGCTCGTGTCGCAGGAGGAGCTTGGAGATCTGCGTCACTAGGTCTCCCTGATATCGGCCGCTGTTCGAGCCCCATCCCTGGTTCCATCCCTGGCTCCACTCTGACGAAGAACTGCTCCAGTCGCCCTGCTGGTGGCGGGGCGGAGGCTGCCCCTTTCCTTTGCCGCCTTTGCCCTTGCCCTTGTTTTTGCCCTTGCCCTTCGGGTGGTTTCCGGATCCTTGAGGCATGGACAGGTAGATCCCCGGGGCGGATGCAGCCGAGCCCGATCCCAGACTGGTGCCCTCCGGTGGATTTTCGCTCTCCCTGCGTCTCTTGGGCTGTGCCCCCGGCTCTCCCGAGGGAGGAGCCGGTGCTGGTGTCTGGCCATTCTCGTTGGTCAGAAACGCCGCGAACACCTGAAGTTCCTTGGGATCCTGCACGTCGGTGTCCATGGTCATGAGGAACAGAGAGAGGAGGTGACTGAGCAGCGGAGGCAGGGGTGACCGGGGCAGCACCGGCAGAGGCTTCGGAGTCTAATCGGTGCAAATGCACAGACAGAAAGCTCAGGATGAGTATGACATAGCATCGACGCCAATGTTGCTGTAGATCAAACGTGGTTTCCTTACAGTATAAGCATGGTTTGGTCATGGCCTTGCGCACAACTCGAGCCTGATCAAGAGTGCGCGAGTACAGCTGAACCCACTCGTCATGCGACTGCAGATGAACCTTGAGACCTGAGGGCGTAGCTGCCCACTGATGACAAAGTGGGCAGTGATGTCGAATCCTCTGTCGAATGTTCCCATCATGCAACAGAGCCTGCCAGCCCTCCTGTCTAAGTCGCGAACAGAACTCCATATCCGTAACGAGCGGTGCCTCCGAGTCGAGACCACTAGGTACATTCAACGGCATAGGAGGAGGTAGCGGGAGCTCCTCGCATCCGGTATCCACCAGTGGAAGAGCCTGGTCCAGAGTGGTAGAGGTAGAAGGGCGGAGGGCGTCCTGGTCAACTGGCGTGCTTGCCGTGACAGTCATGGGAGCTGGGGCGGCCTTTGCCCTGGGACCCGAGCAAGGCGACGGAGGAGAGTGGGATTGGTGTATGCGCGAGGCCGGCACTTCGTCAGGCGCCGCGCCTGCTCTATCGTCGGACACAGTTGACGCTTTCTTCGTGCAGAAGCACGGATGTCGCATTCGGGATGCACCGGCTGTCCGCGGGTCCTGATGGCATAGGTCCAGTGGAGGATCCCTCAAGATCAAGCCCTGGGCACTGTCCTGCATATGCGTCCGGAGGGAAGTCCACCGGGGGAATGCTCGGCCGCATAGCCTACAGGTCGGCATGCCCTGTGTAGAGTGTGTGGACCGACAGAACCGATTGGCATCAAAGCGGTGGCTGGCCTTGTGCCCATGCACCACTGAGAGATGAACGCGCAGGAGCCTGAACGATGTGGCCAGATATCCACATTCGCGACATTGGTGAAGATCACCTCCGTCCAGTGGATTACCGGGGGTAAACGAGTCTGCGGGCTGAGATGAGGGCCCAGGAGCCGGCGCAGAACCACAGCGGAGGAAGTCAAGAGTCTCCCTAAGCCATGCCTCGTTAATCAGCGTTGAGGGTGAGTACCCCGGAGTAGCCTTGGAAGGTTCCGTAGAAGCTCGAGTCAAGACTCTGCCCACCGCTCGAGAAAGGATATCGGCAGCAAAGGGCACTCGGAGTCTGGCATGAAGCGCTGCAGTGGTCTCGTGCGTGATGTGTGCCTGGGAGCGCGCCACTGCGCGGAGCTGTCTCGTGAGCAGGCGTTGCACCTCATGAAGGAGCTTGCCCGAGAGCGGCATACAGTCCAAGCCGTACAGAAGGATCGGGGGGATGCAGGCTCGCCACAGACGGAGGCGAAGTTCAAGAGCCGGTGCCTGTGCTCCGGTGAGGAGGGGACGCAAACGTGTCCAGGCTGCCCAGGCGAGCTGAGTGCGGTGCTGCACTGTGAGTTTGGCCGCGCCTCCGTATGCAATAACAACTCCCAGGTAGGGGTGCTTATCCACAATCGGGATCGTGAAGACCCGTTCACCCGGGGTTCGTATCCTTAGGCGCAAACCCTCCTTGTCCTGGACGTAGCATCGACGCTTCCAGAGCCTGGCAAGGCCGGAATGGAGATCAAGGCTGCGGATTTGGCCGAGTTCACCTGGAGTCGAGCTTCAGTAAGGACGTCCAGCAGGTGACCAATGCGAAGCATGGCCTGTTCAAGTTGGGCGCTCGTGTAAACGATCTGCCCCACATGTAGATCGTCCGCGAACGCATTGAGAACCTGCCTCAACCAATCCGTACTCGTGCGAGCCGCCAGCCTCCGGAACAGTAATCCGGTACATAGACTCCAGAGCAGTGGAGCCACTCTACAGCCCTGTTTGACTCCTCTACGCGCGGATATCACAGCACAAGCGTCACCTTGTTGCAACCTGTACCCAATCCGGCGATAAAAGTCAAGCACTTGTCCACGGAGTTCCAGAGGAATCTGAGCATCAAGCATGGCGTCGTGAATTAAAACCCAACCTAATCTGTCAAACGCTTGCGTCAAGTCGAGTGACAGCTGTATTCCCCCCGCCTGGGGCGGGCGAGACATAGCAGAGAAGGATGAGCCCAGGCGTTTCCTTGCTTGAATGTCGTATTTCTGACGTTGCTGTGACTGGAAGACATCCGAACAGTGTTTGAGGACTCGTCGTACGGCGTCTCCCGTTGTGCGCCCTGGCAGGTACGCCATTTGCGGAAGGGTGCCAATGTAATCGCACACATAAGGCCGCAAAGAATCTTGAAGGTGCCCTGCAAGAGCCCGGCCTGATGCTTCCGTGAGCCCTATAGGTCGCAGCTGTTTCGGAAGTGTGGGATTTCGAACCTTGGGTAACAAGGACAGCCAGGAATCACCCAAATTTGTGGATATTCCTGGAGAGCGCTCGCATGATCACAAAGCCACCCCGAGAGGATGTCCGAGCAAGCAACGAAGGCAGCGGATGGTGCCAAGTGTTTGGGAGCTGCCTTGTTGGGCGGGAGCAAAGCAAGGCGGGCTTCCCATTCTTGCTGGCTCATGTCCGGTGCCTGAAAAAGGTGCGTGAGATGCACGTCATCCTGTAGGGGAGGTTCATCCTCAGGCGCATACACATCCAAGTAGAAGTCCGTCAAGGCCCGAACTTGTTGGGAGTTGGTCCACAATTCACCCTGGGGTCCACGAAGCTGTAATTTGCGTCGCGGTTGCTTCGGCGCAAGGAAGGATGAGAGCTGAAACAGGGCCCGGACGTCACCATAGTGGGCAGCAGACTCCATGGCCACCACTTGATCAAGGAACCAGGCCTTCCGAGCCTGTCGACTGCGCATCCGGAACTCCCGATGAGCCTTACGGAATTGCGCATGCGCCTGCCATGTGCGAAACAGTGCCCCGACAGAGGAGCCAGTGCCCCGTCTCCACCGGGCATATGCGGCCCACATGCCCTTGACGCTCAAGCTCACCTCCTCACGTTGCCAGGGAACAAGAATGCCGTTCTGCTTCCGAGCAGCAAACAGACCGCACACCTGCTCTCGCATGTGGAGATTGAGATCCTCAATGGAGGCTTCGACGCGCGTAGCTGAATGATGCGCTCGTCCTGTGGGGATTTGCAGGCCTGGGCAAGGGCCCTGACGTCGATCCGAGGGGTGCTCGATCTGTGCCGTTGGAGCGCGCGAAACGGAGGCAGGGAGATGTGAGCCCCGACCGGCCTGTGCACACCGCCTTGCTTCCACGAGGCCAGTGGCCAGGCTAATGGCGCAGCATTGCGCGCCATCGGGTCAGCCTGAAACCGGCGAACATAGATGTGATCAATCAGGGAATTGCCTGTGGGGCTCACAAAGCTGGCAACCGCATGGCGCGTCCAGCTGTTGAGCATGACAAGATTATGATCCACAACAAGGGCCTCTAGCTGGGTGCGATCGGCAACTGAAGGAGACGAGAATCGAGAGACTCGGGAGCCTACATGTGCGCCCGAACTGATCGGCGCCGTATTGAAATCCCCTGCCAGAAAGAGGAGGTTGCGCATTGGCGTGGCCCTAAGGATCGCTCCCAAAGTGGACCAGACCTGGAGTCGCTGCTCGCGCGGGGCGAGATCTTGATGAAGTTCCTTCCGACCAGCACCTGCCGCAAAAATCTTTTGGTAAACATTGACACTGTCAATGGTACAACTCGAGAGTGAAATGCGGGTATGGAGCACCCTCCCCGGTATCGGGGCCGTATGGGTGAGCTGGGTCGTGTTGCAGAGCTCATCGGAGACCATCGTAAGGACGCCTCCAGCAGCAGGGCTAGGGGTAGAAGAGGCAATGATGTGCCAGCCTGGCGTAGAGTACTCACTATCGGATGGCCAGTGCGATTCCTGGATGTGTACGATTGCCGGCCTGATATCGTCTGGCATCCTCCGGAGCCACTGGAGGAGCTCGTGGTACGCAGGCGTACTCAGGCCTCCAGCATTATACGTAGCCACTCTGATGCGAGGGTGTGCTGAGCCATGGGTGCCCGACTGCTGAGCTCGCAGGCGAGGGCGCGAATCGATGTCGCGAGACGGGGCAGCACTTTGCCTCAACGGCTGATGCAGCTGATGCCAACGGCCTTTGTACATGGTACCCTGGAAAGGACTAGCGCCGCGGGCGCGGCTTGATTCGGCTGGAGACATGCAGCGAGGCAGATCCCCAAGAGGCAACCTGGACCAGGGCGCCCAGAATGTGCATTGATGTTGTGGGGGTGGCGGCTTCGTGAAGCGGCACCATTCATGTAAGTCCCTAGCTTCTCCGGAGGTGCATCGCGAGGTGACTTCGCTAGAAGCCTACATGGCACTGCACAACCGGATTCAGGACACTGCGGGGGGTGTCCAACCCTCGGCTCAAGGAGGCGCCACAGATTGTGCGACGGACAGTCTGAGCTCCGTGCAGAATGAACAGGAGCGCTGTTGTGCACTGGCTGGGCCTCCTCCCCGGAATTGGGACCGGGGGTACACGAGTCTGCTGTAGATGTCTGTTCCTTATGTGAAAGTTCGGGTGAAGGAATGGTTGGGATTCGGAGGTTCCTTCTGCCCTTGCGAACAAGAGTCGCTTCAGGAGTCCTGCGTCAGGGGTGCGCCACCAGCACCGCGGACAGGCGGTCCCATGGGGCGTGGTTCCCCATTTCCATCCAGAAGCCTAGCAAGGCCCAGAGCCCCCTGTAAAAAGCCTGGCGCACGCATGCAGAAAGAGAGCCTTGGTATCAGCGCCACAACAAGTCTACGAAAGCAAGTCCGTATATGCCGCTCTGCCCTTTTGGCTCGACGTGGGCGTCGATACCTGCGGCGCCTGGGGGCAGTAGGGAACCTGTGTCGTGGCATGCGCTGTGGGATTAGAATTCCTCGCAATCCAGGATTATGAGTGCCTGGCGGCTCGCATGGAGGCCGACGTGGCTGTGGCAAGCAGGCCTCAGGGCGACGTGTAGGGTCCACAGGCCGACGCTGACCAATGCGGATGTGCACACCACAGCGCAGGCAGTGTCTTCTGTCTTTTCACTACTTGCCAAAGTGAGAGGTAGCACCGCCACGGGTCCGGTCCAGGTGACCTCCCGCTGGCCGGGCTGGGCTCAAAAACTCGCACGCACCGTTGACACCATATATACTCAGCAACGGGAGAGGGCTTGTTGCACGCTAGGTAAGAGATGAGCGGACCACCTCGGTGTCCTGTGTGATGCCCAGCCTCACAGACGGAACATGTGACCCGCCGCGTGTCGTGTTGGCAAGGGTTTGGCGTTGCTCCGGAGTGATCGCCGCGGCTGGTGGAGGGCGCGGGATGTCCCGCTTGCCGGCCGGTTGGGCGAGTATGCCACCGGTACTGGCGGTGGAGGTCCTTGTGGGCCTGCGCCTGGATCCACTGGCTTGTCACCCAATGGCGGCATGAGCCCCTTGGCGACGAGTTCTCTCTCAATTTTGTCCGAGTCCAGGCTGTCCACGGAGCCCGGGGACGCCGGAGAAGTAGCAGATGGCTGCGCCTCCTCTTCCCCACTGTGCCACCACGATGGCGTAGAGGCCTGGTAGGCGGGACTGTCTTCACCTGACACGGGTAGTCTTGGTCTTGGGAGTGGGCCTGGTAGTGGAGGGAGCCTGAGGAGCCTCTTGCGACTTCCAGCCCTTGGCCGTGGCCGGTCGCCTGACCGGTCGGGGACGAGAAGGTGGCTGTCTAGCTTTGGCTTTACCTCGGGCCGCGGGCTTCTTGCATGCTGTGCCGGCCATGAGAGAGGCAACCCGCACCTAGCCGAGACCAGATCTAATAGCTTCCCTGAGGCCCTGGTTCGAGACGAGAGCTGAGAACACGAAAAGACGGGAAGTCTGAAACATGTTTCATTGACGCTCCCACAGTCTGTCAAATGCTGAGCACAAGCAAGGGAGTAGGCATGACATTGAGGGCCAGGCCAAAACTGTTGATAGCTGTGTGCCGGTACTGACCTCAAGGAAGGCATGAGAGCGCTCAGCAGGAGATGCAGGGCAACGCCACACATGGGCACTCTCTTGCAGGCAAGACGAACCCCCTTATATGCCGGATGTGCCGGACTAGTCGGCGAACAAGGTGCGGTGAGACTGGTTGTGCTGCCCTGACTGGCACTCTCATCACCGGAAGCTGACGCATCTCCCAGGGTCTCACGAGAAATTCTTTGAGTTGGCGCCGTCGGCATAGTGGCTGTGGTCGTACCACCTCGCGCGGGAGGAGAGTCTCCAGGCGCAGCCTCGGGGACCACGGAGGTCTTGATCTCGGCAGGTTGTGGAACAGGGCTGTCGGCTCCGGTGGTTGGCGAGAAGGGGGAGCAGCGGAGTGTCAACGCCACCTTTAATTCCTTGCCGGCCTTGGCTGCAGGCTCCAATGGTCGAGGAGTCACGGTCCGTCTGGCGAGGGCCTCTTCCACCAGTCGCTGCAGCTGCTTTTTGCGCCTCTTTTGTCTCGAGGTAGTAGAGGTCTTTGGCGTAGCAGCTGTGGCGGTTGGCAAAGGCTGGAGGGTGCCCATGGAGCGTGGGCAGTCCGTACCTGTCTGATGGACGGCTGCCTGTTGCCCAGCTTCCGGAGGGTCGATCTCAGCAGCCTGGTAGGCCTGATGGATGTCCTCAAGCCCGAGGGAAGCTTGTGCCTGTGTCTCCAACAGGATGAGCCCCCGCGTCAGCCAGACAGGTAGGTGCAGGTGCCAGTGGCGGCTGCTCCGTGTCGGGGATATCTGTAGCATGCTCGGCTCCTTCAGAACGAGGGGCTCTGGTTGAGCTGGAGGATGTGGTAGGCGAACGAGAGCGAAAGGGATAGCGCTTGGGCTTAGGCCTTGGCTTCGTCTTCGGTCGAGATGTTGACAGGATCACGACCGCCTCATCATCAGTTTCACTGTCCAGAAGAACAGCTCCCCCGCGACCTTGGCTTCGATCGACGTCCGTCTCCAGACTTGGCGGCTCTGTCCGGCGGAGGGCTCACCACCCATCTGTAGAGTCGCTGGAGTCTCTGGAGCGTGCCCTGGAAGAACTCCTTCTCCGTCGAGGGCAGAATCTGCGTGCTAGCACATATACACACGCGGTCCCCGTGGTGAAGATCACGCGGCACGAGCTCTGGCCAGGTACCAGCGCCACATCTGGGTCCAAGTCCGTTCCTGGGCTGGTGTCCGGCACGATGATGCCCGGAAGGTCCGCTGGATATTGCTGGGTGGCTCTGAACAGACGCACCAGACGACGTGGCGCCAACAAGAGCGTCTTGAAAGAGGTAGTCCCAGGCCCAGGCCCAGCGGGGGGCTGCCGTGTGGAGGCAGCAGGTCTTTGAGACGCACTAGCCCTGACTCCAGGAGAGCCGGAGCGGGATCCAGAGTGGAGCCTCCGTCGGGATCGAGACCGCGATCGCCTTCTGGGCCTGGATCTCGTGCGGGAGCGAAGTCGCACTCCCTTCGGCTCAGTTTCAAGGCCTCTCGCCCAACGACCAGGGCGGCCCTGGTTGCGCCTCTGGCGGCCCGAGCCATTAGGTGCATATGCCGACACCACGGCACACGCCAACACACTAGAACCCCGGTATTAGAGCCAAAGGCGAGCAAGATAGCATCTGCCAACAGCGCACGGCATTGGAATCCTAAACAGAATTTGCACATGGACAAAGAGTGCATGAGCCGAGGCGGTGGCAAAGGAAGTGTGCCATCTCGGGCCCGACAGGCGAGGACTCCTCCAGCCTGGGTCCAGCGAGACTGAGGCTCCAGGGGACATGTTAACACAGCTGGCCAGGCTAAACCCAGCTTGAGATCTCGACCAGTAGGAGGGCCTTTGCTCGACCTAGTCAAGCGAGTGCAAGTCAAGAAGGTGGCGCTGCAAGCCCGCAAGGGCAACTGGAGTGAGGTGCACGAGCCGGGTGTGGAGTTCAGCATGTTCTGCTGTCGAGAGCTCACGGGTAGCTTCGAGGTATAGGACGTGTGCCTCGAGGGTGGACAGAAAACTCTCGTAATGAAGTGCCTGGGTAAGGGCGCGACTGCGATAGGAGTTGAAACCTGCACATTTGCGATACCTTGAGGCTGAAAGCGCCTCACACAGCAGACGTGCACACAGTGGCAGAGTACTCCAGGGCGCCCCAACAACAGCTCCATGCAGAAGTCTATCTGCACACTCGAGGATGAGTGGGCAGTCGGTGTCATCCGGTACGCGACTCGCCTGCAGCTTGTTCCTGGGCTGTTGCGACCTGTCCTGCGGCAGATGTCGTCTCGGAGGGGCAGAGTGGCCAGGACCTTGTCGGGCAAGCAGGTATAATGCTGGGACGCCTGAACCCGGCGCGGTCTACAGCCTGTTGACATCGAATCCGTCATCCGCGTCAGAAACTGCATGCAGGGACCTGAGCCAACAGGCGAGGTAGTGAAGGGGCAGAGCAGATCATGCAGGGGCCCAGCAGACATGTCAAGGTGTGCTGACTTTTGCCACTCCCATTTGTCATAAGCTTCGGCATCACGGTTTCGCAAAACCTCGGACCTCCAAGCCAGCCTCGGGTCCAATCTCCGTTTGCTCCCGTCCTCAGACGTCAGATGGCATGGCAAGACCGGCCATGACCGCATTCCAGAACTGAACCGGTGTGCTGGTACCAGGTGGACCAGTGGTCGACAAAGGTGCAGTCGCCCCGGCCGGCGTGCCCATGTGGGCGGTGGAGCCGCCACCTGTAGATGCCATTGACGTCGCCTTCGGTGTTGTAGCCCAGAGGGAAGCAGGGATCGGAGGGATCGTCGAGGAGCTGGCTGTAGCCGGTGATAACGGAAGAGGAGGTGACAGTGGAAGAGGAGGGGTCGACACAGAGTACGGCGTGAGCTGCGTGAGCCGAAGCTGCCACCCTGCAACGTGAGGATGAGGTCCTGCGGAAACCCCGCGCCACCCCCACCCGCCGAGGTGGAAGGCGGCGGTCCTGCCGGCGTCGGCACTGGAGGTCCTGACGGTCCGGAAGGCAAAGCAGAGCCAAGCGCAGCCGAGGGGCCAGACAAGGGCGCTGCCATCGCCGTGGAGGAGGCTTTGGATGGGGCCTTGTGCGGCGGCCAGGCAGGCGCGCCCGGATCAGTCGTATGGGCCAGCATCTCCGAAGGTCCAGCCTTGGCTGACTTGGCTGTAGGTGGAGCCCGATGTGAACCGCTTTTGGGTGGTGGCGGCCCCCATGGTTCCTCCTCCCAGGAAGAACTGGTTGAGGATCCTCCGACGCGGAGTCCTGGTGCGTGGTCGCCCCTTCGCAGCAATCGCCTTGGCCTTCCGCTTAGGGGGCATTCTATCTGGCGTCCACACCTATGGTCACTGGAGCCCTCACGCGGCAAAGTTAGAGGCTGCAAGTGCGGTGAGATGGCATGCACAGACACAACTCTAGTCCGCGGCAGAAGCTGCAATTGCAAGGTGTGGGCAGGCTCGGTGTCAGGCGCAATGCAACGGGACTCAGCTGGGCTCCGCGCTTCGGGGCAAGGCCCAATGGAAAGCGGGCACCACAGGGCTAGAGCCACGATAGACAACGGGGCAATGAGCGCTCGCATGGCACTACAGAACTTCACATGATCAACAGCAGACTCGAGCCAGAGCCTTATATATACATATATACATATATACATATATACATATATATACATATATACATACATATACATATATATATATATACATATATACATATATACATATATACATATATACATATATACATATATACATATATACATATATACATATATACATATATACATATATACATATATACATATATACACATATACATAGGTATATATAAAAACATACCTACATACATGCCTGCATACATATACACACACTTATGCAGTTACACACTTGCACCCATGCCCATGCTTGTGCCGCTGTCCATGCCTACGCCTATGCCTATGCCAGGCTTTAGGATTTAGGGAAGATGCCCAGGAACGAATGAGACGATCTGGCGCTGTGAGCCCTGCCCCACCGAGAAGCTTGGATGAACCGCGGCTGTCGTGCCCAGAACCTCCAGAACCCTGTAATTGAGGAACACACCTTGCATCACTAAACTGCTGGAGGCCGTCAGTGCGAGCGCTGATAGTCCCTTAATAGCTTGAGCGTGAATTTTCTTGAAAAATCGGGCCTGGATTTTTAAAGAAAATGGCTGCCAAAAGTTTTCTGTAGTGTGAGCGCCAAGTGTTGCTATATTGCATCTTCTTGTCACCCGCGCTCGTCATCTCAAGGCATCTCAAAGCCGGTTTTGCATAAATGTCAGTGACACTATGCTGGACTTCACTGAACAAGCCACAAGTCTTGCACATGTAAGGTTGCAGAAATTTTTCTTTCTGTTCGCCGGGTCGTCCCATGGACTTCGGCGATGCCCTCGCCGCCGGTTCTTCAGGCCGTTCCGAGGACAGCTCTACCAGCACCCGCGAGCTTCATAGCCAGCACATTTACGAACTCCAATTGGAGGTCAACGCCCTCCGTGCTGAAATCCAAACTCTCAGGTCCGCCTTGCAAGCTTTGGAAGAGTCCCTTGCTCGTGCCTGGGTGAACCAGACCGGCCACCACCAACGTCTCTCGTGGCTCGAAGGGATCATTCAGAGCTTAAGGGCTGCCTGTCGGGTATTTCTTGAGCCTGGCGTCCAGTCTGCCTCAGATTAAGCCATGAATACCTTTAGTGCCGGCATCTTGCAGCAACTTGCTGGTGTCACCCGCGAGCAGCTCGACGGTGCCTTGCCTCCGGCGCAGGCCACTGTTGGGCCCCCTGAGCTTCCCTTTGCATCCGTGCCCGATCTTGGGGATGCCTTTCCTGCAAATCCACCTCCTGCATCTGCTTCTGCGGATAACTGGGGGTTTGTAGGATTTACTGGTGACTTCGAAGGGTTTACCGATGACTTCACAGCGCCTGTCTCGGAAGTCGAAGTCCAGCAGCAAACTCACGAGTTTCCACCTTCCCCTCCCGTAGGGTTTAACCCCAATCACTTCGAGGCCCATTTAGCATCCCTCTGCGAGCCAGATGAGCAAGCCCCTTCCCTCTCCCTTTTAGGGTCGGGAGATGAAAACACTGCTTGGTATGAAGATGTTAGGGCCATGAGTGAGTCACATTTTTCATTGGTGCCAAGTGCCAAGTGCCAGCAAAAGAGAATTTGGAGAAGAGGTCCGTCCTGGTAGGATTGCTCGTGCTGTGGGCGATGAGCGCTCACGCACTGCCGTGGCATCTCCTGCCCTGCCTTGGGAGAGAGGAGTCTTCAGAGCCATCTTTGGGGATGAGGGCTTAACTAATCCCTTTGATAACCTTGTGCTTAAGATGCCTGGCCCCTTAGTCCCAGCACATGTGCCGCCGGCGGAGCCAAAGATCCCTGAGCCTCCCATACCTTCAGCTGACATCGCGAGCAGGGCATTCAAATCCTTCAAGGATGTACATCCGAGCGACGAGCGTGATATGGTCATGGACCGAGCGGTGTGCAAACTGCAGCACATCATTTGCCGCACCGATGTTGACCGTTTGTCACCTGAACTTGCACAAGCAGCCTCTTCCAAATATGCAACAGACGAAGTGTTTGGCATCGTGTCAGCTTGTGTAGGTCTTCGTAGTCCTCACACGGTTGTGAAGCGCGCCGACGCGATCCTTGCATACTTGAGATGGTGTGACAAGGAAGGTTACGAGAAGCCATTTTGTGAGGATTCTGTGTGGAGCTTCATTTCTTACTTAAAGAAAGAGAAGGCAGCTCCGACCCCGTGCAGCCTCCCTCATTTCAGCTTTGCGCTTTGCGAACTTCGTTCTGGGGCTGAGTGTGTCCGAGGTTCTTGCGAGCCGTAGGATTCTGGGCCTCAGTGCCCAGCTGGGTGTCAAAAAGAAAGCGGCCAACCGAGCCCGGCCTCTCAAGGTGTCAGAGGTTCGCTTCATGCATGGCGTGCTAGAGGACGAGAGCGCACCAATCTGGGACCGAGCCATCTGTGCCTACCTTCTTCTTGCACTCTACGCAAGAGCCAGACACAGCGATTTGGTTCTTGTAGAAGAAGTGATAGCAGACTTTGATCGCCAGTGCAGCGGATACCTAGAGATCCGCCTCAGATTCCATAAGACGGCACAAACCATTGCAAAGAAAAATGATTTGTTGCCGGTTATAGTTTCAAGCAAGGGCATCGTGAAAGGCGACTGGCTGGGGTTGGCTACTGATGTATTTGAGCGCGTGGGCTTCACCTTGGATGGGACTGTCGGTGCGGGCCTCTTCAGGCCATTTAGGCCCGGTGATGCTGCCCCAGGTCGACGAAGTCTAAGGTCGTCGGAGTGCACAACCATGTTGAAAATGGTCCTTGAGCGGGCTGGGTCAGATGTGTCAACGGTCACATCTCACTCGTTGAAGAGAACCCTGCTTGATTGGGGCTCCAAGTTTTGTCTTGATGACGGGATTTTGGCTTTGCTTGGGCGTCACAGTAAGTGTGTCAAAGGAAGCGTGCCCGTCTATGCTAAGGAGGAAGCCTTGAAAGCTGTTAGGGCTCTTGAGCCTATGTGCCAAGCAGTGGCCGCAGGAACGTTCCACCCAGATGCTGCCCGAGCCTTGTACTTTACAGATCCCCCAGCGCCAACTGTGGTGCCACAAGCGCCCGAGTTCAGGGCGGCTGTCAAGGCGAAGGTTGAAATCATCAATGATTCAGCGTCCGAGCGGGCTGAGTCCGAGGGGCAGCACTCTTCAAGTGGCAGCGAAAGCAGCGATTCCGAGTCACAAGGCGACTCCGACTCGTCGTCCGAGTCAATTGCGCCGATCAAAGCGCCCCGCCTGGAAATCGAGCAGTGGGATGCCGCTGACTGTGCGATTGCAGCTTGTGTGCTAACAAGACGGCGTTGGTCAGTGGATGCAGGCGTGGTCCAGTACCAAGCGCCCAAAACAGTCATTTTGCGATTGCAGCTTGTGTGCTGACAAGAGGGCATTGGTCAGTGGCTGCAGGTGTGGTCCAGTACCAAGCACCCATGCCGTATCAGAACTTAGATAATGCCATTGATGTTGTAGCCGTGAATGCAAGTAGCAGCAACTTACCACGTTTACCTGCACTTACCTTGCTGAAGTACACAACCTCGCTGCTAATTGCGCGTGTTTTTTTTTCTGCGGGGCTGCACAAAGTGCAGCTAATATATACGCGCAAGTCGCGCTGCAGTGCTGGACAGGCATTGCTGGAATGAGCTTCGTTTCCACACACATTCCTATTGATTGTTTCCAGGGTGAGCTTGGTTTGTGCACATATCCATTCAAGATTTTGCAAAGTGAGATTCTGTTGCATGTCCCACGAGTTCGCATTGCATGTGTCATGAAGCCGATTGCTTGATTGACAAGCTTTGACACAGCGAAACACGGAATGGCTCGAGCATGCTCAAGCCTCATTCGCACGGCGCGGAGCCTGCGGCGACAAATAAAAACATCTATGCGGAGCTAGGCTAGGCTTGAAGGGTCTAGGTCAAAACCGGTTTAGGTCGGCTCTTCCGCCGTGCAGGCCCGTGCTGTCGTAGGATAAGCTGAAGTTCCGAGGCTGTAGTCCCTTTGAGCGGTGAGATTAGTTGAAGCTCTGAGGGCATAGTCCCTCTCAGCAAGATGCCCCGGAGACCAGTGTCTGTGCATGGCACTTTTAGTGCCCATGAGGCGGAATCTTCAAGTGAAGAAAGCGCCTCTGTGCCGGAGTCGTCCGATGTGGAGGGCGGCAGAGGGCGATGCGTAGAATGGAGGGAGAACGAGGCGCACGTGGTGTGCGTGATGCCGGTCACACACGGCGTCGCAGAGATGGAGCGCATCCATTACTGTTGGTTGCGCGCGGCATCGCAGCTGCTACGGTGCAATTCCCGCGAATGACGTGCTGAGGGCGAACGGAGCATTGAACTGATGCTGCAAGACGACGTCAACAGCACGGAGGAGGAAGACGGTGCCGGGCCGCCGGATCCCGCTGCAGAGGATGAGTTGGGCACGAACTGCAATCGTTTTCTTGTGTGCGTGGCAATGGCATCCGAGCGCTTTGGTGCGCAGCGCTTGTGCTGGATGTGCTCAGCCATACGGCTTTGCCAGGCGCACACGCAACAGCTCACCTTCGCGTCCCAAGTGCGGCGCCTTTGGTCCTGAGCCATAACGGACTTGAAGACTTGGAGGAGATGTTCAAAGTCTTGAACCACCGACAGCCAAGTGGGAGATGCTTTACAGCCAAACGCACCAGCGAGTTCTAAGAGTGGAGGAGCTGACGGCAAATTTAGCTGTCCTGTCAGCAGTATCACCCAAACAACGTTGGATTAGGTCAAGAAACTGGTTGAGACCGACGGCAAACAAGTGCCATGAGGTACAAAAGAAACTTTATTGGGCAGCAAAGTTAGAAGTGCTTTAGATCGCTGAGCTGGAAGCGAGTGGAACTCCTGCTTTGCTGCAGCCATTTCGGGGTTCGGGTAAAGGGTTTGGGGGCCCAAGTGCCGAAATAAGTCATTTTGCAATTGCAGCTTGTGTGCTAACAAGAGGGCATCGGTCAGTGGCTGCAGGTGTGGTCCAGTACCAAGCGCCCAAAACAGTCATTTTGCAATTGCAGCTTGTGTGCTAGCAAGAGGGCATTGGTCAGTGGCTGCAGGTGTGGTCCAGTACCAAGCGCCCGCACCGTATCAATATTCAGCTAATGTCAAAGATGTTCTAGCCGTGAATGCAAGTAGCAGCAACTTACCGCGTTTACTTGCATTTCCTTGCTGAAGCAATTTCCTGCTGAAGTACACAACCTCGCTGCTAAGCGCCGTGTTCTACCCAAGAGTTCCAAATCTGCGATCCCCAGTGAACACAGAGCAGCTTCGATATATGTGCAAATCGCGCTAAAAGCTTGGACAGGCACTGCTGGAATGAGCTTCGTTTCCACACACACACATTACTTTTGACTTTCCCAAAGTGGGCTTGGCTTGTACACATATCTATTGAAGATGTTGCCAAGTGAGTGAGCGTTTTTTGCATGTCCCACGGGTCACGAAGCCGATTGCGAGATTGACAACCGTCTACACCGGCAAACAAGTGCCATGAGGTACAAAAGAAACTTTCTTGGGCAGCAAAGTTAGAAGTGCTTTAGATCGCTGAGCTGGAAGCGAGTGGAACTCCTGCTTTGCTGCAGCCATTTCGGGGTTCGGGTAAAGGGTTTGGGGGCCCAAGTGCCGAAATAAGTCATTTTGCAATTGCAGCTTGCGTGCTAGCAAGAGGGCATTGGTCAGTGGCTGCAGGTGTGGTCCAGTACCAAGCGCCCGCGCCGTATCAATATTCAGCTAATGTCAAAGATGTTCTAGCCGTGAATGCAAGTAGCAGCAACTTACCGCGTTTACTTGCATTTCCTTGCTGAAGCAATTTCCTGCTGAAGTACACAACCTCGCTGCTAAGCGCCGTGTTCTACCCAAGAGTTCCAATCTGCGTATCCCCAGTGAACACAGAGCAGCTTCGATATATGGCTTGAAGGTATTGACGTAGAGACGAAGGGTTTAAGAAGTCCATGCAGGACCCAACAAGCGCAAAAAGCATTAGCTATTGAGACCCCCCTGCTTGTGGGGATGTTATCTTCAATAGCTTTTGTTCACTAAGCAGTTTTCCAACAGGGATTGAAGGGAGTCTTAGAGGAGGAGCTGTGACCCTAAAGCTTAAACCCAGGCATTGCGGGGGCTTATTGTTAAGTGAAACGCTGCGCGTCGTCCGCCTCGGCCCGGCTGTACGCGCATGCGGCGAGTGGCTACTATCTGCAGCAAGCTCTTGTAGGAATTCAGGTTTGAAACTCGCTTGGTACTGCAGCCTTAAAGATGCTACCGATGCCCCTCCCCCCCGTCCCGCCCTCCCCTTCCCTCCAAACTCCAATTCCAACCCGAGCGACTGAAGCCAAGTGGCCAAGGAATGCCAAACAGTGTGCGGCAGCACTTAGCCGAGCTCTTCCTGCAGGCACTTCGGGCTCAAATAGATTCACAGTAGGTCAGTAGGCTGGGTTTCGGATGCTGATTTGTTGCTGTGCGTTTCCATCCGGCTTTAGGGTCTGGTAAAATTGGTAGGCCGCTTCTCTCACTACGCACGAGCCATCCCAGCGTAGGTGTCCAAAACCTACAGGCCACAACCAAGACCCCATACCAAAGTTTCAAATCCAACTCCAGGACCCTCAACTCGAAACGCCCTAAGCCTTAAACCCTTTCTCTACTATCCTTCTACCCATCAAAGTTTGGCCCACACCCTGACCCTATACTATCCCTAGACCAGGAAAAGCACATCTCTGTGTGTATATATATATATGCATATATGTACATACATGTATTTACATAACTCTGGCGTAAGCAGTGGTACCTCAACCTCTGCATACCTCTAAACTTTAAACACCCCTAACCTCTTAAGCCTAATACTAAAACCCACAATTGTAAACTCTTAACTCTGAGGTGCTCACCCACTTGACGGTCAGTGAAGAGAACACACCGGAGTCCGGGACCCTCGTGAAGGAACTCGCGAAGACGGTGGCCTCCGTGCCGGAAACTTGATTGAATGCCCTTCGCAGACTAGGAGGACTTCGTTTAACTACAGGGTTTAGGATTGATTTAGGATTGATAGGGTTTAGTGTAGATTTTGGGAAGATTTGTTCGTCATATTTGATGTTTAGAGGTTCAGAGCTCAGGGTGTATGGTTAGGGCCCACACATCGAAGAACCATGCACGGATGCTAAAGCAAAGACCCTAGCCCCGAAGACGATGTCAAAACTTAAAGCTACCACAACAACATCACACGAAAATACATTTGAAAAGGATACTTCCTACACCCTTATCCCTAAACCAACATTAGAACAGAATCAAAACACTGCCACGAGAACGAAGCCGAATATTATCGGTTAGTCACAGTATCCTCGTATAGTCCATGTCTAATTATATTGCGATACACCCCAACATCTTCTTCCAGTTGCAGTTATGGTTGATGATTTTTGGAACTCGATGACGAGCATAGAGAACCCGAATACAGTATCCCGACCCTAAAGCCTGACCATTCTTTCGCCCGCGTTAGTTCATCCCTGTACCCAGGATGCAGTCTTTGCTGCCCTCCGCCCTGCTCTCGCAAGACTGGCGCCCATCTGCGACGCAGCGGCGCTTTCGTGGTGGGATTGGTGTTACATTTTCAGGGTACGCAGGGTTTGGTGATTACGGCTTTTGCACTCAGGTTTGCTGATTTTGCTGGTAGATACAAAGGTTCATGTGTGTACATAGCAGAAGCTTTGGCCCGAGAGTTGCCAATGGAGACTATAGGTACACTTGAGGTAAGCCTCATAAGTGGCAAGACAGTGTCACTGCAGACCCACGACGACGAATCCGTAGAATCGCTGACGGTGCGCGCGCAAAGAGCCCTGGGAGCTGGCAGAGGTCGGCTCTTGGACTCCATCGGAAGAGTTCCTGGGTTCTTGTTAGGGGAAGAAGACAACAAAGTTTTTATAATAAGGAAATCGTGTATTTACTATGGCTTTAATGTAATTAAATACCTTAAACTCCTTAACAAGAACCCAGGTTCTTGATGGAGGAGCGCTGTTGAAAAAGGCCAGGCTGCAGTATCAGGAGCCACTGACTTTTCACGTATATCGACGAGTCTATATACGTGGCGGAAGGTTTGCTTTTGCTGCGATCCTCGGAGATGGTTCCGTCGTGACCTGGGGGGGAAATGCTGGCGAAGGTGGTGACAGCAGTGCGGTCCGAGATCAGCTGAGGAATGTACAGCAGATTCAAGCAACATCTTCGGTCGCCTTTGCTGCGATCCTTTCTGATGGCTCTGTCGCGACCTGGGGAGCTTCTGGCTGTGGTGGTGACAGCAGTGCCGTCCGAGATCAGCTGAGGAATGTACAGCAGATTCAAGCATCTT